ACCCAATTTTTCAAATTGCAGATTTAACTTCCTGTTTTTCAATAAAACATTAGTAAATGCTACGGAACCACGGAACTAGGGTCGAATAGATAGTCAAAACAACCAGGGAACCAATGAAGCATGCAAATTCAAATGCTGTTTGATATTCACACTAATATGTCAATCGACCATCAAATTACTAATTTTAAAAAGTCAACTAGGATAGGAGAGTAGCAATTTTCTATTTTAAAACATGACACTGCCTACACTTGATATCTTAATCTGTTTGTGAACTTGTAACTATGTTTTATTGATAACACATTAGAAGATTGAAATATTTTTGGTTAAAAGTTAACACGTGAATAGCAGTTAGGGGCTGAATTTCGGTAGTATTAACTTTTCCTAGGATGCAGGTAAGTGATGTACCATGCGATTTCATTCGACTGTGTCTTTGACGAAATTTCTTGTTTCCCAATTGGTGAATAATTTTAGGCCTTCTACCGGAGTGCAGTGACAGAGGCCGTCAAATCCGACAATCCTATCGCCCTCCAATCTCTTTATCGAATGGGTTTTAGTTCATTCTAATAACTTTACTCCAAATTCATTTGCTTTTTCATTTTTAGGTGCAGTTTTGAAGCAATTAAAGTGGTCTATATCACAATAATAATTGTGGGTGGCTAAATGCCTCCGATCATTTCAGTAGAAGTTTTGTATGATTTTAATATTTATTGCATTTCCCTTGTCATTTCATCCCTCAGCATAGATAGGACGTAGACATTTTTTTCAGAGTTAACCTATCTTTGCCTAATTTCCATTGTCAAAAAATAGATAATATTTAATCAGTAAGAAAGTGTACAACTGCCACATTTACCGTGCTCATACGCACTACCCCTTCTTCGTTGTGTATAATAGGATGATCCCAACGCGACCCTGTGTGAAGATGGCGATATTCCTCTCCTAGAGGCTGCCATGTGTGGTTCTGAAAGGGCAATGCACGTCATCCTCATCCACGGTGCATCAGTTACTGCTACTGATGCACTGGGCAGTGCAACACTTCATTGGGCGGCAATTACAGGCAACACATATTGTGCGCACCTTCTCCTTCAGTATGGGATTCCCATGGATAACCTCAGTTCCTCTCACTTCACCCCCTTTATGTGTGCCGTATACTTCGGAAACATCAATGTCGTGAGATATCTGATCTGGCGAGGTGCCTCCACGACGCCCAAATTGAACCACCGCAATGAATCAGCCCTCACTTTCGCCTCCCTTATGGTTTGTGATTGTCCCACTCTGTTTATACTTTATCCGTGCGAGTGACACCCACTCGACTTATTGCATCATCACTCAACAACAGTTCACACCGTTATGACTTTTCTCTTAAACCGTTAGCCTTATTGCTTCTGCTTAGGGTAACGTTGCCATATTGGAGCTCATTTTAACGGTGGTGGTCCCACTGGAGTATCGGAGGAAGGAATTGTACGCTTCTCTAGCACAGGCCGCTTTTGGCAAACATACGACGGAGGTACAAATCCTGCTGGCCCATGGGGCACCTGTTAATCTTCCCGGCTCGTCGATTGAAAATTCTCCCCATGCAGCCGTTTACGGTGGCGAAGAGTCAATCGTTCGTCTTCTTCTTTCTCGAGGGGCAGATGTTGAAGCCGTTGATCAGCATGGCTGCACTCCATTCGTGGTCGCTACGAGAAGACGAAATGTGAATATGGTCAGAGCTCTCATAGCTGCAGGTGAATAACACTTCCCCCATAGTTTGACTTTCATGCACATGTCTCCTGGGTGGGACACATTAACTCGGAGCAAACAGCAAATCGACCAACACCACTTCTTGAATACTTTATTTGTTGTCACGGATATCATCATTGCATCGACCCTTTCCTCTAGGGGCAGACATAAATGCAGCGCACAGAATAACTAACGAGTTGGTTATATTCTGGCTCAAGAACTAGGCTACACTGAAATCTCGGTTATTCTAATGGAGGCTCTTATCAACAAAATCTTGTAGTTTCCAGTTCCCTGCTGTTTGCTCTTCACAATCTGCTCATTAGTAAGCAGGAACCTTGAAACATACCAACAAGCGCTACTTTCTTAGGCTATGTCGATATTACTTAATTTATTAAACGACGACCAGCCACGTGTGCATGCAACTAGTAGTTGGGACGACAAGGAGGCTGCATATTGAAAGCAATGTATGTTGTGGTATGGGCGAAGAATAAGATGCGGATGACTTGCCCATGCTCATTGGACGGAATTAAATAAATGAAAACTAGACCGACTGCATGGAAGTTTTCCACTTTGGAAAATTAGTTCGAAGTCCCCTGTTCCGACGCCAATCGAAAGAAGGTAGGGAAATTTGTGCTCGCCAGTTTGTCAGCAGCTTATATAGACAGGATGATTGATTACGTTACGCGGTTTCATTTAGTACTAGCAGATAATATAAGAAATTATTGTAAAGGATGCAAATTCCGGCGTTCTGGCACACTAGTATATCCTGCAGGAAGCTATCTTCTCGTAATTGACACCTTCTTAGCAATCTCGTTTTGCTATCTGCAATAGTCAGACACTCCATGCAAGCGCTTCAGTACTTCTTGGTTAAGATATTTCATGCAAACTAAAGCATTATGTCGCTAGTGCTGCTTGCTTACAGAATACAAGATAAGTTGGTGTCAAAGGAAGAGGGCTCTTCTAAAAAAGCCACCGTTTTGAGTCTTTGATAACGTAGCACATAATTCCTACTGCAATGTAGGGATTTTGAATCCCTGGGCGACTGCGAATGTTTCGCTTTAGTGATAACATTCAAAGCTACCCTTGGCGTCCTATGCATCGCATTTAAGGATAAAGCTCTAAGGCAGCTATGAAGCGGGCGTCTTGAGGGTCTGTTAGTCTAAGCGAAATGCTGGTTCAGCTTGTAAAAGAGGCAAAAGGACTCAAGCATACAGTGCCCACCAACTACTTTGGGACGTCAAGCATATTTTATAGCCTTTTCTCTGCAGAAGTGAAGCGCACGTACATAAAAAATGCCACTAGTGTTAATGACATATACTTCTTCTTATTACTTTGACGTCGCACTAGTCTTATGATTATAGTATATCACACTTTTCAATCTGTCTTAGTTCGAATTTAGTTTAAACAGAATTTAGTAGTGCTATGGAGCAAAAATTACGATTCTGATGCACCATTTAAGGTCATGACACCTACCTCACGAGTAGGGTGGTCCTGGCTAACCAATGGGTAGAGCAGATGGTCTTCAAAAATTACATAGACATTCCGACCATTGGCTGCTCTCTGCTATGGCATTTGAGCCAGGCTGTGTTATTAGGGA